GAGTAAAACAGAATGAGAAGACTTTAGTGAAGAGAAGTGAGAAACAATAGAGGAATAGGGTTCAGGAAGAGAAGATGACGATCGACGTTACATTTCAATTTTAGAAGATTTTAGGAAGAAATAAATCGGGGTGCAGGAAATTAAACTGTTAGATTAAAACAGAACAGACGGTTCGACAGCAAGACGGCGGGACCTAATTACCAATCTACTTAAATTCGTGCAGTTCAGGGACTAAAGAGGAAGCTCATCAGAACAATCGTCATGTAAACATTTGTAGAAAAGATAAAGCGAAACCATGTCACGCCGGTGAGAAATGGACTGAAGTCAAGATGCCAGGCTAGGACCTATAACTTTGCAGACCCTTCTTTGAATTTTGTCAATAATCTTGAGATATATGATAAGAGCATCAAACCAGATATGGCAGCAGTATTCAATCGTTCCGCTATCAAATTGTTAAAAATCATAAAGTACGTTAATTGTTTTCATTTATCTTATCTTCAGTACGACCTGTGAGTTTTAAATTCCCCAAGCACCCTGTTTTCATTATATGTACGTGTTGTTGTAGGATCCACCTAATTTGCATAGTGGAGTACCGACCATATAAATATGGTTGGTACCGGGAAGAGAGAGAGGAATCAAGAGATCCAGGAACGGTCTTACCAGGAATATACAAAAGACTATATGTAAATATTGTGTACACTTTCTTGTTTCAATACATTTTGTTCTAAGTACATTTTGTGTTGCATTATTATTCCATGCATTAGTCAAGTGTCAACAGTACGAAAGTTCTCAGTGATTACTTTCTCGTTGTTAGCAATAGTTTCATATATGCAAGATGGTTCTTTGGCTTATCGCACGGTAAATGTATTCAGTTAACCAAATTCGAATTCCGGTTAAAACTGTGAATAATTTTCGCTCATGCTTCTGAAAAGGCACAAAGTCACTTATTGCTTCGTTACTGCCATGCTACAATGATTGAAGGTTAAAACAATAAGTGTAACCAATACTTATATAACTACCATATTTGCAGAGGCAGTTGAAGATTCTGCAATTGTAGGAACGTAATATCGAACCTTCTATATAACAAGGAATTCTGAAATTCAGAAAAGTGGTTCTACAGAAGGATGCTGAAATTACCATAGATTGAACTTATGAAGAATGACGAAATTTTAGGAAAATGGAAACAAAAATAGCAATTATACTTCGAATCAATTGAAATATCTCAGGCACATAATGAGGAAATAGGACTCAGAGAATTTGACACTCATAGGATATATTTGTGGTGAAATAGGACCAAGGAATTCTAAATTACCTGTGGCTAAGAGGCTACGATGTCTCGCCTGCCCGGCCGGAACCACCATTTGCAATTTAGTTAAAGCGCATGCGTGGTTCTAGCTCTTATAAACCTACCTCTAATCAAAATCCTGAATAAAGGGTTTAGCCACACAGATGAACAGGAAATGATCTACAAGACCCTGTCCTCTTTCGGACAGGGATGGTGCGATTATCAACTTCAATATTGAAGGTAAGAGAGACACTGGAAAGCATCGTATAAACTACCTAACGAGATCGTGTAAATGGTTGGCAGAACACGAATTAGGAAAGAGAGCAAAAGTACGAAGCTTACTAAGAATTACAAAAGATAAGAAGTTGTGGAGAGCCATGATTGCCTAAATCTTGAAGGGATGCTAAAACGATTATCGAAACCACAATTAAAAAAAAAAAAGTGCGTATCTGAGCAGTTGTTTAAATTCATTGCTATGCTGCCTGGATGCAATGGATGCAAAACCTACCGCAGTAAGATCGGCTTATGTAACCTCATTGTTAATTCTGGCTCCAGAAACGAATTATTGACCCATATTCAAGAATATTAGTCGATAACCGGTCTTTAAAAAAAAAAATGCTGCGCAGACAGTTTGGGAGGGTGCAAATAAGCAGAGGCTTTTGGCTCGTTATAAGTCAGGATCTCATTTGCATAATTGATTTCGTTTGTCAAATAGGAAGAATTACTATTAGTTACACTTTTAAATTACAAACCAATTTCTATAAGTAATTATATTCTTGGCTACATTACGGACAGCGTATTCAACTACAGATGTTCTATGATTACGTCTATAGACCTGTAGATTTATGTAGAAGAATGCGTATGTGTGTATACATTGTAACGCACACACACACAAACATATGTGTGTGTCTATTGATATAACTATTGATATATATATATATATATATATATATATATATATGTGTGTGTGTGTGTGTCTGTTGATATAACTGTACATTTTATTATTTTTGTCTACTTCATCATTCGGGAATTGATTTGGAATATTGGGACAGTTTGTCTACTTTTAGAAATATTGAACGTCCACATTCCCTATCTGTTTCTCCATGTATATCCGTGCGCATGAATATTTATATTAAAGCACCGTTTCATTTCGAAACACACATGCCTATTATATATTTACCTATAAAGATGAGCTTCGAAGTATACAAAGGTAGTGGGGAGAGGAACCCAATAAAACGGTTAGCGACAAGTAGTTCCCTACGGTAGACACCCAAATGACTATTAGACCATATAAATCATTATTTGTCTTTTCATTTGAAATGGTATACACATCGTGGATATACTCACAACATTTCGGCTATTTTGCCCTCCGGGCTTCTTCAGGTGCCCACCGACGTAATCGGTAGCTTTTTACAAATTTCGAACCAAGCCCTTTACTACATTTACAGGTGTAGTTTGTTCTCATTCCAACTTTCATGTTTAAGTCCTATCTGCTCTCCGAAGGAAAATATATAATAACTATTATTCATAATCTCGAAAATTCAGAGTTTTTGGTGCCATCGGAAATTGTTGCTAGGAATTACTAGCCATGGCTCCGAAACACAGTTATCTCTCTCTCTCTCTCTCTCTCTATATATATATATATATATATATATATATATATATATGGTATTTCGGCAGCAATCCATATTTTATGCAAGTTTCGTTGAAAACGACTGACAGGGTGGTTGATGTTTTTTATATAATTTCTTATGTGTTAGTATTTTTTTTTCTTTTCAAGACATAATTATATAAAATTTGTCTGAATGTTTTCCAAGTCTTTCTGGCTATACGTTTAACCATTATCAAGGATGAATTTTATTTTGTTTTAACTGAATATATTCATTATTTTATGTGTGTATCTATAGTTATAGGAATGTTTTTTTTCCAAACACAATCACCACATTGTGACCGTGTTCATATTTGATATTGAGTGTTGGCTTTTACTTTTTTTGTTTTTAATGTTTTCATTATTTAACCTTTTTGTACATGTGGATGATGCTATCATAATTGTATTATTCAACGTGTATGTTACGGATAGAGTTTGGTAAATCTCCATGTGTATTTAAATGAGACCTAATTGAGCTCTGGTCAGAGATATGTAATGTAAGTCTTGTTAAGCATTTAGTATATCCAATATAATTATTTACAAATCTGGATTAGTCAGGAAGAGTTCATAAATAATATTGGTTCTCTGCTACGCAGGTGAATTAATATTTTTGACGATGAGCTTAGTGGTTTTAAATTTTTTGTAATAACTTAATTTTCCTGTTTTTGTCGACTGGAGTTGTGTATTTCTTTATCATGTTTTTAAGTGAAGATTTGTCTTCCTTATTCTTACTATGCATTTGATTTTTCTAAGAAATGTTAATGTTATTGTTTTCTCTGTGTGTTTTGTGCTTCTATTGGTTACCTTAAAAAAAACAATATTCATTTTTATGGAAATTGTGTAATTAGCATATTAAAAATCTTCGTTCGCTGGCATGACGTTGTTCTAAACAACACCTCTATTATTATTACTATTAATATATATATATATATATATATATATATATAAATAAAAAAAATGGAGGAAATATATATATATATATATATATATATATATATATATATATATATATATATATATATATATATATATAGTGGGGAAAATAAATATTTCGTAACTTATAAAAAAAACTTAAAATTCCACAATATTTCTACACTATCGCATAATGCTGTCATAAGCCAAAAACAGTTAGAAAACTTTATTATAAATGAAATGTGTTATTTGTAAAATTTCGAGGGGAAAAATTATTCGTGCAAAATAAGCCTTTAATATCAAATGCCTAAATTTAGCTTTATTTACATAATTTTTCTAAGACTTTGTTAGATTCTTCAATTATCTTATTACAATCTAGAACATCCGCAATTCATTTCTTATATAAGGTTATTTCTGCACACAAATCATACACATCAGACAAATTGATGAGATAAAGAGCAAATAGAAAAAGTTTATCAGTTTAACAGGTTTCACTTTTATTAAAGTTTCATCAGAGACAGAGAAATGGAGAAAAAGAAATACATTTATTCCATATATATATATATATATATATATATATATATATATATGTATGTATGTGAGAGAGAGACCATAATCAATGCTTTACATACCATTCGTTTTCTCTCTCAATATATATAAAAGAAAGAACAGTAAGATATATAATCCAGTGTTCTTATAAATATTTTTATTTTCACAAAATAGTGCTCAATGTAAATTTACAGAGCATTATTATTATTATTATAAATAAATGGATTTAAAATATGGTTTTTCCGCTACACAGTTTTGTGTGTGTGTTCGTGCGCTGCATCCCTACAGGGCGTGGTCATGGTTCGCTTTATCTTCTAGCATATCCACTGTTATTTGGAACAGTGGTTTCTTGGATATTTTTAATCGTTTCACCCCATGCAAGGGGATGATGCCACTAGAACTCAGGGCGTTACAGGGAGAGAAAGTGAAAGACAAGGAGAAGGCTGAAAATGGGGAGGATTTAGGAAAGGTCAAAAAAGGAACAGGGTTCAAGAAAACGGAAGATTGTGATTGACGTTGCATTTAAATCTTTGAAGATTATAGTTACCAGAAAGCAAGAAATCGGAAGCGATTTGCACAGTTCAGAAGTGAGAGAAGAGAAAGTTGACATTTAGATACCAACTTAGATTCATGTCGTCAGGTACCAGAGGTAAAAAAAATTGTTCATCAGGACAGTTACCATGAAAATATTCGTAGAAAAGACAGAGAGAAACTATATCACGTCTTTGAGAAATTTACTGAAGTCGCGATGCCTGGTCAGAATCGGTTACAGTGCAGATCCTTCTTTGGATCTTGTCAAGAATTCCAAGATTTACAGCAGGAGCACCAGACCAGATATGGCAACAGAATACAATACAAGGAAGAATGGTAGATTTTTTAAATATGCAAGTTGCATTCTGACAAGAAAGATTTTCTGGTACGACAATCAACTTAGAGTAGATGTAGCAATTGATTCGATATCGTTGTCGGGGCCAAGATGGCGTAGGGTGCTGCTCTCTCGGAGTTTTGCATCAGCCATGCTGATGGCAGGCAAAGAAGGTTCGTTCTGGTTATTAAATGAAAGATCGAGAAAAGACAGTGAACGAGTATGTTTTATATGAATTCTTATTGATTGTACGATATTGTTCAACAGTCGAATGCGAGCCTAAAGTGGAAAACCCAATTTATATTTAACGATTGCATCTTCTAATTTTACATGATGAAATGTTCATTTTGGCTTCACTCCCTCCTCTCATCTGGTCCCTTGCCGTTTCTGCAGCTCTCTATTATTTTTGTCTTTCAAAAACATCTCATTAAGCCAAATCTAAATTGAAGTGGTAATATTTAGAATGAAACAATTTTAAGTGTTTCTGTAATATCGATTCAGCTTTGAAAACAACATCTTTTAAATGATACAATCGTCTAAAAACAACAATAGGAAAGTAATAATAATAACAATAATAGCAGCAGCCTTTATTCTACACCAGCCACAGCACTCCTGGCTTATAATATTAATTGATTGGAGGGGTTAACATGTTCATGTTATGTGTTGATGAATTAACATGGGTTACAGTAACTATCCCATTCAACACCACTTGTCCCGCAGTAGACTAACTTTAACGAGCTGAGCATGCCTCCCACCCACCATGGACTGGGAAAATGTTATGGGGTGGTCTCACAGTGGAGGCTTGTATTTGTACTAAGTCGGTCCTAAAATAGGTTCGACGTACAAAACGTTAGGAACTTGATATAATAGTTAATGACGCAGAGAAATCTAGTTGTGGTCGCTGATACTTTAGTATCCGACTAACGGTCGTCCGGCATCGACTGACTGACCGACCCACTGAGCGACTGCCTCGTTACTCTTACTGTTCCTACTTATTATAAGTGGGTGAGTCTGTTAACTATAGAATAGGTGTGTTCCACTATAACAGAAAATATGCACCTCTGTACATGATTGGAAGTAGTGGAGGAGCATCATGGCTTTGTGTTTAGAAGATTCTTCTTTTTTTTTTTAAGTTTGAAGGATGAGTCAGCCAAGGCAACTTGGGAGTCACATCTAGATACGTAGGAACAGCCTCAAATGGTTTGAACGGATTTTGTTACCCCCCACACACACCTGAATGCCTAACTGACCTCCATCTGCACAGTTATGACCTACGTTTATGAACACCTTTCATTATATCGGCCACATTTGGCTTTGATGCATGTGCCTTGTATGCACTTAACAGATAAGGTGTCATAATGGACATATTTGAACGTCGTAAATTTCCATCCCACCATAATTTTGTTAACGTGCCGATCGCTCAATTCTTCTTCTTCTTATTATTATTATTATTAATAACAACTAACTATAAGTATAAGGTTTCACGGTATTAGCATCCACTGAATATAAAAACCGGCATGACAGAGTAGACCAATATCTGCATTCAAATATCTGCAACTTTTTTCGGAAATGAAACTAAAAGAAATTAGTATGAATACCAACCAGACCCTATTACAGAGATAGGTCCTGTAACAATTTTTCGGGACTTTACATACAGACAGAACAACCAAAGATTGGTTTCGTTTGTTTCGTTTTACGGCATATCAGCCTGAATGGGTCATTTAATGCCGACAAGAATTTTATTGATGGTAATTTAAAAAAATGTATTGCTGGCAATATTTTTTTCAAAAAAAAATTTATTGCTGGTATTAAAAACTAATTTTTCACTTTTATCTTCTTTTGACCTCAGTTTGGGGGTTAACTATTTACCCATAGCTAGAATCCTAACAACTGCTACCACTCCGGTCAGGGTGGTCTTGGGAACACCAACAATTAACCCTTTCACTGCTACTCATTTGCCCAGTGCTGTCCCCATCCGGCCAGCCATTTTTAAAGAAAATGCCAAATTTCAACCTACATAATTTATTACACATAAAACTGGCACCAGTGTGTTTTACAGCCTTCCATTTTCATGGATATACCTGGGAATGGCTTACCAGATCAGTAATGGGTATACACATGATATCTTTTGAAGCATTGTCCTTTGTGATTTTACAATAGATGGTGCAACGGGACACTCATAACAGTGGTATGCAAAAAAAACGTAGGTTTCCGTACTTAGCCAGCTGGAGCAAGATAAGAAAAACGAAGATCTTCGTAGTTAGCAGCGGAAGTGTTAAGAGGTGGTTCCACGCTCCTCAAAACCTCCTGATTAGGGGCCTTGCTGCTGGATCTAGTTTATCGTCATACCCAGTACGCCTCATTAGTTGGGGGGGGTCTTACCCTCTGCACTCGGCGTATTTTGAAGACTCAGCCGAGAGGGTGGACAATCAAGGCTAATCGCACAGACATTGTGATCAGAGACTGCAAAAACAAAATATGCCTTCTTAATGACATGCCATTCCCGACAGACTGTAATGTATCTTTGAATATCTTCAAAAACTATCAAAATACAAGGACATTGAAATGGAAAACTCAAAATGTGGCACATGAGGACATCAATAATTCTCGTTGTAGTTGGAGCCCTCGGATTATTGGAAAAGGTTCCGATAGACTCATCGAAGGGATTACTTGTAGTCAAGTCTTAAAGAAATAAAAAAAAACTTGTATTCGTGAGTACAACTAACAGCTTACGAAGGGCGTTATGCATGTAACATGTATGTAATATTTGTTTTTTAAATGGGCATGTGAAAAAAGAATTATACCGATTCTGACCTTAGGTCTCTGGTTGGGACCTGGAAAGAAATGAATGTGAATGTTTTAATTTTCTTGTTAATCATAATTCTTAACGACTGAATAAGCTCCTTGCGAGTTCCACGGCTATAAATTATCCGTGAAAATTCCCCGGTTGCCTCGCCAAGTTTCTGATCTTAAGGACATTAACAAATGCTTAAATTCAGATCGTTATTTAAAGAAGTAAGGGGGTACAAACTCTCAAACTTGACGGGCTTTCTGTTTCACTGAAGGAGACATTAAACGCGCCAGAGCGGTATAGTCTCCTCTGCCTTGACTTCTTTTCTTTCACTTAATCCTTGTTTATCTTCCTTATCATCAATAATCTTCAGGTCCTACCGTCACCTCTTTGATTCCTATCATACAGTTCATTCATCATACCATTTTGTATTTAACACTCTTCCTTGATCGGCTCTCAACCTTTGTATTAGGGGAATTTTAGTATAAACAAAGCTTATAAATAGAAATTATTTTTAAACGATGTGAGCTTTTAATAATAATGTACTCTAACATTTGATTATAGACAACATAAAAATATGTTTGAATTGTTCGGTAAGTTTGATTTAATTAGCAAAGATATTAGAAACTATCTATTCCTTATATAGGGAGCCAAGCGCCAGTGCAAACATAAAATAAATTCAATAAAACACAAGAATAAAGAGGGACAAGGTTGGGTCTTCTCACCGGACTTAGTTAATCTTTACAATGAGATGATTCTGACAGAACTAGATGTCCTACCAGGATTTATTAGTGTGGGACACAACCTCAATAACATAAGATATTGTTGTGTCCTTGTTAGGGCCAGAATTAAAGACACAAGAGGGGAATTGAGTTAAATAAATATATTAACAGAAAACAGTAATACAAACATATACAAACCAGAATGTTACAGCAAGAATGTTCGAGCCGATTGTCAGAGCTGACTGCTGGAAACTTCTCTCTCCAAAAGGCAGTACCTGCTCCTATTTATAGCTGGGAGAGTCCATGCGTGAGTGGGTAAATTAATATAACAGATATACAGATGACGCAGTACTGGTAGCAGACAGAGAAAGGAAACTGCAGGAAATCCTACCGAACGGACGCAAGGAAAGCGAGAAGAAAGGACAATTTTATGAAGGCAGAACGTATGGTTGTCAGCAAAAAGAACAGTCTTAGACGCGAACTACGAATTATAGAAAACAAAATAAAGTTACTACTAAAATTTAAATATCTGGGGATGTGTTTTAATGGAAAAAATGACACCGCAATCCGAAAGGATGTAGCTAAAGAGGCCTTAACTGAGTATTAAGAAACAGGAAAATTTCACTAGAAACAAAGAAAAGAGAGTGGTAGTTAATTCTCTTCACAGATGAAATGACTAAAGGCCACAGAAATGTTGATTCTACAGAAGAATGAACAGAACAAAATGCAGGAAACCATGGAGAGCCATGATCGACGACGTGCTGAAGAGATACGGCATGCAGAATAAACAAATTACAAATAAATAAACTATCGCTCTGCAGGAAAGCGTGAATCTTTGCACTCATCGTGTTACGTAACATTGCCACGTATCTTGACCACATTTCTGTCCCTGGTGTAAGATAAACGGAGAAAGGATCCATTCTTCTGTAAATAACGTACTCGGATGCTGACTACCATATCAGTTGTAAGCCTTGACAGATAGATAGAGGCTCGCGGAAAAGCTATAAGATATGCAAAACCAAATACTACTTGCCGGAGAAGTTTGTGATAAAATTAATAGCACATTTATCTCGTGAGTTCTAGCTAGTGTTTTTATTAACACTTCGTGCTCCCAAAATAGCTGTCTTGATATATCTCAACGTTCGGGGACAGGGAGTTCGATGCGTCACTGTTGGGCTTTTCAGATTTATCTAGCGACCTCTCTACACTTAGTCCGTTTCTGTTGCATAGAGTCTTATTTGCTAATGCGAAAAACAGTCTAGTTAAAATACAGGCATCAGAATGAAGGCTCTACGAAGAAAGATTCGACAGATGATCGACAACGTTGAATGTATTGCCTCCGTTGAGCTTTGTTTTTTTAATGTTCAGGGATTAGAAAATCTGCATGTCGACGCCCATCAATTTGCTTGATTATGTGCATCCCTTAATTTATTTGAAGGTAATTAAAAAACAGTAATTTGGACACCAAATATATTTCAGCCACAGATGCAATTTGTATGTATAACCCAAGATAGCCGTATGGCCATTTTTTTAAAAATTTGTTTCAGGCTGGTTTTCAGTTCAAACTTATCCATCTTTTAAACTGGTTTTCCTAGCAAAGCAAAATGACTCCTTATATTTCATCTCTAGCGAGAGTGATGCTGCATAATTCGGAGACGAGACAGGATGAAATAATAATTATAATGAAAATCCCAGAAAGAATTTATTTTCCATTTTCTAAGAATTCTTAGTATGTGGACAAAACCGGTATGACTGACAGTAATTTTAATTCGAGACCCTATCCAATTAGTCTAAACGTTTACCCGAAACGAGTTAGGTGGTTTGAACCCCTGGGGTATAGAATCGTGATAATAATGGATTGTTTCATCTAAACTTTAACATAAGACTAGAAAATATGCAACAACGACGAGTGCCGTTGCGATGGCAATGCAGTCGAAAAACCTGACCGTCATCCAAGACTTCTCTTAGATTGCTTTGTATATCAGCAGTTTCATTAGGAAGATTTCAATGAAAATCCTATTCCGATGAAGATTCAAAATGGCGATGACGTCATGTAACTTGATGTGAAGAACGTCAATTCCCTGGAAACCTATAAAAAACCACTCAGGCTAATTCCTCAATCAGAAAGATGCCAACAGTCTCGAAAACAGCCAAAAGATGAAGAGAAATGGCACAATCTTCTTATTTGAATAAATCTATATAGAAATATATAAATCTTGTCTTTGAAATTCACTTAAAACGTCGTTTTTCCGATAAAAATAATGCACTTGGTGCTTGTTTATATCTGCTGAAAATCTAGGCAACTAAAAACTTTTGTTAAATCCTAAGGTAAAGAAAAAAAGTAGTGTTTATCACCAAATGTATACAAATTGTAAATGGATTATACTGCTCTGTACTTTGCGGATTAATGTTGGCTGGTGATCCGTCCTCTAATTTTCGTCTGTATGAAGCCATATAAAGTGAGGGAGATTATCATACCACATGCAAATTAGAGTCAGTTAACGTTTCTTTTTTGTTTTGTTTTTTTGTAAAACAAACTGTCCCATTTTTGTATTGGAACATAAAGAAGGCGTACCAACATGCTGAAATCCTCTTTTCCTCTCTTAAACGCGTGCGTAGCGTCCCTTCATCGAAGAAACTACTTAATTCCTGACAAAATAAAGAAAAAAAAGAACTGTGGGTCAAACTGTCTGCCACTGATTCCGGATATTCACTGAACAATGCGGTTCCGACGAAGAAACTTCAGACGCACAACCAAAAGCCAAGGATTCCCCAACGCGACAATGGCTAACTCCGGATACAAGAATCACGTGGCTTCCATACAAGTGAAACGAGATGGATTCAAAACCATTCGTTGGTGCGAAATTGATCCACACTCTACCAGAATCCGAACTCAGTTCACAGGATATATATTTTGCGACTATATCCATTACGCCAAATATTTTTCCAATTTTTCCTTTTTAGTATGTAGACTAATTTTTGTCTACTAATTTTTGTTTCTCTTCTACCTATTTATCTGTTTTCACAGCAAAGTTTCCTTCGGAATTTAATGTCCTAAGGTCTCGGATAAAAAGGTGATTTACGCAATAAATAAAGTCAGAAACTTGATTAGACTTTTACGCTTGTACAAGCCAATTGCCACTGGGTGTTCGCGCGTCCATCCTATGTGATGTTTGTTCTTGTTGAAATCGTTATCACAATGTGTGTGTGTGTGTGTGTGTTTGCTGATGTGATGAAGCAGCCAGACAGTGATCACAAGACGATAAATGATTCTCGCCTATTTGTGTATATTTGCTCTGACTCGCTCTAATTCCACAGGGGTCTTTCGGTGTAATTTGATTTACTTCCTTGGTGAATAAGGTTGCGAAATTGGTTTTTTGTCTTTGGGTGAATAATCACAATTTTTAACTTTTCAGTGAGAAGATGACGTCATTTGAGGCATTTGGAATTGTACCTTTAATCAAGAAGTTATGTAACATAGTTTTAACTATGGCGAAAACAAACTTTCTGCCTTATATCTGGCCAAGATATCCTGTTAGATCCTGTTAGCAAGGTCGATCCTATTGCAGGTTCGTTGGTGTTTGGCGAGCTATCGTCGTTATTTAGCATCGACTGCTTTTATGCTAATCCCCCCCAAATTGCACCGTCTCTATATTTTATTGAGAGTCACAAAAAAAAAAAAAAAAACATCTTTAACGAGACAGAAGGCTCGCTTGTAATAATAAATGATACAACACTTGGTATCTGTATCGGCCAAATTTTATTGTTTTTTAGCAGGGTAATTTTGCCAGAGATTCGTCAGCGATGGATAGGGCGCACCGAATGAGAGGGATTCCTTAGTTCCGCTTTTTTTTTGGCTGGGGGGGGGCATCGCCTTCAGACAACCCCTCACTTGGTAGAAGGAACTTATAGAATATCACGACTTCTTGTTCATTGTTGATTAGTCAATTCGACCAATGAAGAACCTTGGCCATATCCTGTTTGGACCCGTGTTTTTAGAAATACAATATATTTCCGATAACCTGTGTATCTATTTATGATTTCAACTGTTTCTCTCTTCTTATCCTTAACTTTAAATTACTCTCCTTTATTCGATCGTAAAAAAAAAATCTGTATTTGTCACGCATGAATATAAAAATTAAATTCCAACTAAAGTAAGATAACTGAAACTGAGATTCCAGAAAAGACATGGCACGTGGAACTAGACAATTCTACGCCAGTGGGTGAAATAAAGGGTCCGGTTCGATATTCCAATGTATATCACCTGAAGAAGACCAGAGCGTACAATGGCCGAATCATCTTACTTATTATAAAACGCAGATTGTGTGTGTGTCTGTAACGTTTATATATTGGAGCGGATTTCCTACATTTTTCAACCTATTTCAACAAAACTTCACAGGATTACATAAAATTACCTTGTGGTGGTTCTAACAGCGCCAAAAATGGGAAAAGTATAATTGTTTTTGAACAAAATCAATTTGAAAACACGATTAAGAGACATCGTGAAAATGGAAGGGGGACAACTCACATCGCGTTGTTTGTTTGTGTGGGTTACTTGAAATATGGGAGCGGATTTCCTATATTTTTCAGCCGATAAAACAAAACTTCACTTCATATTTTTTTTTTTTTGGCAGGTAGTGTTTCTTATTCTCTTGTACACTTTTTTCTTTATTTTTAACATTCAGAATGCTTTAAAAATTCCATTTACAACACAATTATTTATAATAAAATTCTATTCAATCAGTAGACTCATAACGATTAAAAACAATGTTTTGTTTGAGTTTGACCAATTCGTAAAAAAAAAAAAAACTAATTAAGACATGCGTGTCCGTCAACCTTAAGCAATAATCTAACGATCTCTACTGATTGTACGAATACAAACATCGGATAAATTCTTTATCTTTAGGAAAAGATAACGAAATCTAAACATACACAAGTCCTAACTAAAAATAATAACCGGAACGGGAAACTACTTTAAATACACATGGTGTCCAATTTTTTACTGTATTCAATAAGTAAAAATTATAAATTGTAAAAGATTATTATTACAGAAAGGCTACTAAATGAATAAGATTTGTTAGATCATAATTAATAAACCCAAATAAAGTTGATATTTTTTTGTATTAGAAACAACGAGTGGAAAATATATTCAAATCAGAATTCTAATTATGAATCACCACAAGCAAAATATGCAATTTTTTTTACTGTATTCACTAAGTAAAAATCATAAATTGTAAAAAACTAAAAGATTACAGAAAGGCTACCTACATTTTTCAACCGATTTCAACAAAACTTCACTTCTTTTTTTTTTTTTTTTTTTTGGGGGGGCATGTAGTGTTTCTTATTGTCTTGCACACTTTTTTCTTTATTTTTACATTCAGAATGCTTTAAAAATTCCATTTACAAGACAATTGTTTATAATAAAATTCTATTCAATCAGTAGACTCATAACGATTGAAAATGTTTTTGTTTGAGTTTGGGTTTGACCAATTCTTAAAAAAAATCTAATTAAGACATGCGTGTCCGTCAACTTTAAACAATAATCTTTGTCAATTTTATTTTTCAGTCTTTATGATAGTGGATACTTGATCTATCTCTTACTGTTATATCCTCGGGCAACGCCGGGCTCTACTGCTAGTCATGAATATGACAATAAAAACGAGGACAACAGTCCTAACAATGAAAATTGTGTAAATAGGAAAAATGTAGTTCTCCATCATAACAACGCAAACGGACAAATCATGCTGAAAACACCGTGTCTCGTTCAATCACTAAAGTTAAGCGCTGTCGGATCCGGTCAGTACTTAGAGGGTGACAATTGGGGATACGAGGTATTCGGCTTTAAATAACCCACAAATAGTTGTTAAGCCGTAAAAAAAACAAATCAATGAAAATCAGGCAAGGTCGTATACAACTATAAACTAGCAAACTTCTGGAAATCGGTCGGTCTGTTCTATACTGCCTGCTATCTTCACCTAAACTTGTACGAACAGACTAATATCTCTTTTGATCGCTGCATAGCTAAGCAATGTGCTTAGAAACCAATACGCCATTCGTTACACTTTAAATTTAGATGTTCAGCACAGATTATAATTAATATATGAAATATTTTATTATGCGTCATATATGTATGCTTGTATATGCATACAGGAAATTTACTCTTTTAAACGGTGAATCTCTGAATTGAAAATTAAATCCAGTATATGTGAATAATTAAATGATTTTAGA